GGATCTATTAATTGTTTATTTGTAGGACTTTAACTTATTTTTTTATGACATTTTGTTTGGCAGTAGGAATAAAGAGATCATTTTGAGATTGAATTATTTTAATATTTTCTCATTTTTTAGAAAGATTTTCATATCCAAATGATTATTTTCTAGTTTTCATATTTATAATACATAATTAACAAATTAGTTCTAAATAACCACATGGTATCTATAATTACAGAATATAACATGAGCTTAAAATTACAAAAAATATAAAAACGATACAGTTTGATTTATCATGGTTATTTACAACATTAAAATTTGATATTTTACTTCTTTCTCTATCAAAGTTTGCAAAATTAAGTGGGTTATATTATTTGGATTTGATTTAGTGTATGATTTAAGATGAAAAGTTGTGTGTGTGAGAGAGAGAGAGAGGGGGAATTTTGTTTGTGTTTAATTGGAGATGTAAGAGGGTATGTATGAGAGGGAAAAGGAGAGAAAGGAATTGAGTTTTGACCGTTGCAACAAATGCATGTGTTGTATTTTTGGGCCCAACTTTTGAATCCGAAATTTAGTTGTTAAGTATACACTTTATTGGAGCTTTTTGTGAAATTTATATTATCATATATTAGAAATTTGAATTGAATTACACCATATATTAAAACATATGAAGCATTCTTTATAGATTGGGCCTATAACCCCATTTTTTTCAATTACACTGTTGGGCCGGCCCTGGATCATGACCATGCAACCTTCTTGTGAGCTGTGACTTATTTTATTTGAGACTCGGTGGGTCGATGCCAATGTTATGATTTTTCAATAATTTTGTACCAATGATTTTTTTTTTTTTTTTTGGTTTAATTTGTTTTCATTCTTGAAGAGTGCTCTTCTAAAATATGAATTGTGATTGACTTATCATTGCTTTGGCTTGCGATTAACTTATATATATAAACAAATATTAATATGTAATCTTACTTGTTGCTCGACAGATATAAATTAAATTTGGTGAGAGTTGCAATAAGTACATATTATTGGGTCTGAATAGGTTAAAGAGTCTTGTTAGATTAAAATACTTTAATACGGGTTTATATCATATTATAGTATTATATGTGGGATTAATTAAATAAGTATCACATTCAGATAATTCTAATACAATCTATTGAACTATTTTAATACCACTAGGAGAGATGATATTATAATTCAGTCTAAAGTGTATTACATCATTATTTTTATAATTTTACCCTCAATTTAAAAAAAAATTCAGGTGATCATTTTTTCTTATTTATTTTAATAAAAAATACATAGACATTCTAATTTCATAGCAAACCCAACGTTAACTTTTTACAGTGACTTGACTTCCCCCTCATATGGACAACATATAAAAGATGCACATCATTTGTCGTTCACATGAATAATAATAAATAACAATATTAATAATAAACAAATGAATATATATATATAAAAATACACTTTTACATAATGAAAAGCATGCTTGTTTAATTTCAATATTATTTAAAAACATTAATAATATTACTGAATATTGAGTCATTATAATGGATAAAATTAGAGATGAGTAAGGGCATTTTAGTCTACTCATTTAGTATTACTGAATAAATTATCTAACCAAATATTATTAGACTTGATACTTATTATCCAACTCTTAATAACATATTTAATAAACGCTTGATTAAAATTAATATAATCTTTAATTCCTATTTAATCTTAAATTTTATTCATCTATCCAGAATTATTTTATATTCCCTAATATACTCCCTATTTTCTTATTACGGCATCCAATTGACCTAAGGGGGTTATGTTTGACTGATCCTAAGTTGGGAGGTTAAGGATGTAGTCGGCTAAAGGCGTTCATGTGGTGAGAGACTTTGAACACCACTCTCATCACTTCATTCTCCTTTTGCTTACGATTCCTCTAATACTGTCCATTTTTAATTATTGCTCCTCAAAAGCCTCCTCCCTCGGTACCAAAAAAATGGCAGAATTAAACTTCGATTTTTTAAGATTTATTACTTAAATTATTTGATATTTAAAATATTATACACAAATCTTTTAGGATTTATAAGTGTATAACACTTAAATCCTTATCATAATGTCTGTTAATATATTAGTTAGTAAATTATATTTAAATTTCCTAAAATTTATACATATATAATACTTACACCTTATATTACGTTCAAAACTAATAAAATCTATTAAACAATCAAATTATCATAATTAAATATAGAAGATATTGTATCAATTATAGTTTGACCCCTTGTTTAGTTTTTTAGTTTTATTATAATAAATAATATAATTATATATTAATTATAACTTTTTAAGAAAAATTAAATTTTTATTTTTAATTTTATGTCAATAAATGATATAATAAACATGAATGTTGGTTGTAAAATTTAAAATATTTGATATTCTATCTTTGATTAAATTATTTTATGTTTAAGTATAATATTTTAAATTTAAGGAGTCAAAATATTATATGTATATAAATTTTAAAGAATTTAAGTATAATTTATTAACAAACATTACCAGAAAGAGTTGAAGTATTTCGTGCGTATAAATTTAAAAGAATTTATATATAATATTTTAAATGTGTAGGGCGAAAGTTATTAACTAAAAAAACCAATTTAGATATAATTCTCCTAAAAAAAACCGCCCTCTTCCCGACAACCTTTATTTTCACGCGCTATGCTTTTGCTTACGGCAACCAGACAACTCATTATTTGCTTTGTGCGCGTATATTCCTTACGACCAACCCGCCTACCCCCTTCTTCTCTTTCTCTCTCTCCCCTCTAAGCTTGTTCCATAAGAACTCTTTCGAACCTAATTTCCTCCCTTGTCTCTATATATCTCTACATCTCTAAGATTATTTCATGCGAGCTCTTCCGAACCTAATTTCCCCCCTTCTTTCCCTATATCTCTTTCGAACCAAATTTTCTCTCTCTAATATTGTCTCTCTCTCTTTTTAATATTTTATTTGGTATGATAAAAAAAAATAAAAAGATAGAAAGTTGGAGGGATAAATAAAATATTATATTTGATAAAGAAGGAAAGTAGAAAAAATACAAAAAATGGATGAATTAACTTTCCTTTTAACTCACCAAAATTAATTCCTCTAAAATCAAAAGAAAAATGGATGAAAAATTAATTATTTGTGTTGAGATGTATCTTATTTGTTTATATATCTTATGTATACATTAATTTCATATAAAAATATAATGGTAAAATATGTAATATAATAATAAAATATGTATATATATTTAAAAAATTTTAAAAATTAATTTAAAATTTAATAAATAAAATAATAAAAATTTTAAATTAAAAAAAATATTTTTTCTATTTTAAGTAAAGGTGAAAATTTTCGACTCAACACAATGACACAACTCAAACTCGATACGAAAATAAATAAGTCAACTCGCAATTCGATATAATATAATTAGTTAAATGAGTTAAATTATGTTTAATTAATATTCGACACAAATTCGTAATGACTCAACACGAATCTGACACGACACGATGTGACTCTATTGTCACCCCTAATCTTAACCAGTACAAAAAAAAAAAAAATTTTTTTATTTTTAATCCGTCCAACCAAATACAAAGGAATTAAAGTGTATCTTTCATATTTTTCATCCTTAAAGGATAGAAAATGTATCTTTCTTACTTTTCATCCTTCCTACTTTTTATCCTTCCTATCAAACGAAGCATGAGATAAAAGCTCTTCTGATTCAAATTTTCTCCCTCTAATATTGTTTCTCTCTCTATCTCTAAGATTGCTCCATAAGATCTCTTCCGAACCAAATTTCCTCCCTCTAATATTGTCTCTCTCTCTCTAAGATTGTTCCATAAGAGCTCTTCCGAGGCAAATTTCCTCCCTCTAGTATTGTCTCTTTCTCTATCCTCTAAGATTGTTCCATAAGAGCTCTTCCGAACCAAATTTCCTCCCTCTAATATTGCCTCTCTGTCTCTAAGATTGTTCCATAAGAGCTCTTCCGAACCAAATTTCCTCCCTCTAATATTGTCTCTCTCTCTCTATCTCTAAGATTGCTCCATAAGAGCTCTTTCGAACCAAATTTCCTCCCTCTAATGTTGTCTCTGTCTCTCTATGTCTAAGATTGTTCCATAAGAACTCTTCCGAACCAAATTTCCTCCCTCTAATATTGTCCGCGTTATTATTGCTCCACAATGCCCCCTTTTGCTTACGACAACCTCTCTGTGGAAGTAAGTCAAGTAACCCATCAAATGCTCCAAGGCATATACCCCATCTCTCTCTGTCTCTACTACAATATTTTCCCTCCCCCTATTTAACACACAGTTTGATCTTCTCTTTAACAATTTGGTCCTCTATCTCTGACATAACATACGCACCTCGCCTTTCTTTCTCTCTTATACCATTTCCTCCCTCTCTATTTGTCCCACTTCCGATCTTCTCTTTCCCTCAACTTGGTCCTTCTTCTCTCTCTCTCTCTCACACGCTCACACACACACACACACACACACCAATCCCAGTTATGGACAAGAAGGCAATGGAACCAACTGAAAGTTTCAAGTTAAATTCTTACAAGGAGTGCAAAGCTGCAACTAAAAGCAGCAATATCAACATGTTCCCTTTCGTGACTCCAGTCCGAGGAACCATCAAGCGCCGGATCTTTGCCTGCTTCATCCGTAACCTGAAACTCCCTTGCAGACGCACCTTCCATTCGTGTCTTTCCCATAATGAAGACATATAACTCTCTCTCTCTCTCGCTCTCTCTCCCCATATATGTGTGTGTGCAGTACTCTTCATTTTCTGAATGACAGAGTAATGTTCTTCTGTTGTTGTGGCTGGTGTGTTCCATTGCCATATATTGGTGCTGTTTATTATATTTCTGATGCTGTTGGTGGTATTTGTTGTCATTGCTAGCTGGTCTATTTGGCATTATATATGTGGGTACTGTTGCTCTTCTTAGTATTACAATTTCCATGTCCAATAGTTACCATGCACTTTCGTTCGTACTTGCAGTTGCTGTTGTCGTTGTTGTTTTCAACGTCGCCGTCGTCATCATCGTTATCCATTCCATTGTTGGCAATAATACTCCAACGCAGTTGCTTTTGTGGCTGGGGTACTCAACCACTGTTATCTATAACTACCTTTACTTGAATGGAAGCTTGATTAACGGGTATGTCAGTCCTCAAAGTGCATGATAGAAAAAAGGCTTTGATTATTCCCAAAATCACTTGTGTAATTCAAAATATCAAACCCATTTGAGCTTTAATTAACAGTTACCTTACATTACATAATTTAAATTAGACAACGACTTGTGTGTTGTGAATTTGTGCATGTTTACATATAACAAAAAAGACATTAGGCAAAGATTTGGAGGGCTTGGAGCCCTTGACAGCTTATCACAAACGCATGCAGACACACTTGCACATACAGTAGGAAAAAAAAAAGGCTTAGGCTTTGTTTGAATAGTATCTCAAAAACAAGTTTTTTGTTTTGTGATTAACAAAAATAAATAAAAATCTGCTTGGACAGACAATTTTTTGAAATAATTTTTGAAAAAAATGGAGAATAAATGGCTGATTTTAGAAAAAAAAATGTTTTGGACTATTTTGGGAAAAAAAAATGAAAAAAAGGGGAATGGAAAGGAAAGGATTACTGTGTACTTTAACTCCTAGGTGTAAAAGCTTTGTTTTTTTTTTTTTTTTTGCCTCTCTCTCTCCACTTTGGCTCTCAGACGGAACACACACAGGGTCGTCTCCGGCGAAGACTTCATCTTCTTTGTTTGGTCGACGACTGATAGCTCTTCGGCGAAATGAAATCTCTGGCGAAACTAGATCCGTTTTTTTTTTATTTTTGGATCGTGATTTTTTCTCGAAGATTGCTTCGGATCTGCTTCAAATCAGTATTTTTTTTTCCGGCGGCTTCAAGATCTGCTTCAGATTTTTTTTTTCCCGGCGTCTTCCCTGGCAGCTTCAAGATCTTCAACAAAGGGCTGAAATTATTTTTTTATTTTTTTATTTTTTTTTACATTTTATAAAGTTTAACATATTAAAAGTTTTTTATATAAAACATTCCAAAATGTGGGCGAAGTCCAAGGCATAGGCCTCTATGACCAGAAGCCTAGCAAGCCCAATAAGCCAAGATCAACCCAAAAATGAAAAAAAAAAAAAGGTAAATTGTAAAAAGGTACACTAATTTAGATTTATTTGAAAAAAATTACAGACTAAAAAATGTAGAGTTATTAAGTATTTAGTTGTGATATTTATTTGTATTAAAGTACATAATTTGAATTTATCTATTTTTATTGTAACATTTTTATACTCTATTTATCCATGTGTATTTAATACACCACTTTTCTTTGAAAATTGGTGCATTAAATATTTTCTAATTTTATGAAAGAACTTTAATAGATATATACATACATGAATACAAATTTTGAAATTCAAACAAGTATATATATACGTTTTTTATATATACATAAATACATATTTTTATATATATTTATATATGCACATTTTTATATATACATAAATACATATTTATATCTATATATATATACTTATGTATGTATATACTTATTGTTAAATCTATTATCTAGATTTTAAATTATCTTTTAATGTACTTTCATTCATGCATTTTTTTTAGAAAATGATTTTATTTTTAAATTAATTTAATATCAAAATAGTGTAATATTGTAACAATAACAGTGTAACAATAAAAATGTAATAGTATAACACTAACAATATAACAATAATAGTGTAACAAACTATTTACACAAAATATTGTACTATTACATTTTATCAAACATATAGTTTCACATAATTTCATTCAAAATAGTCCATCTCCGTTTTTAATTTGTTACCATATACACAAAACTACTGAACACTGTTTTTTTTACAGTGTATTTGTTATACTATTATATTATTTGGATATTAAATTAATTTAAAAATAAAATTATTTAAAAAAAAATGCTTGAATCAAGGTACATTAAATATAATTTGAAAACAAAATCACTTTTCAAAAAAAAAAATGCATGAATCAAGGTGCATTAAAGATAATTTAAAATTTAAAAAAGAGATTTAACAACAAATATATATATATATATAAGAGGAATATATATATTACTATCAAGATTGGTCATATAATTATTTAAAACCATGGATAGATGACTGACTTTGTTAATAATTTCCTGTTCGCTTAGACCATCTATGTTCCATTCATAGAGTCTGTTAGACTGAACAGAAAACTGGTTTAACACATTCTTTTCTTCATATTGAAGATCTGGTGGAGTGGGTCTAGAATACCAGTTCTTTGTGGAGCTGGTAGGGACTCTAACCAGTGCATTGATTTTAGAATCAGGTTGGGTCATACTGTGATCCTTAAACTGTTTTTTCTAAGTTTTCTATTTCAGAGTCAGAATCAGTGGTGTCTTTGGGACTATCAGATTCTGAATTAGACTCTGAACTTTCTTTAGTTTGGTTGATGACTGTTATCTGGGAAGTACTAGTAGATTCTTTCCTGGATAAGAGTGCATCAATCTGTTGAATTAGGTTTTAGGAAAGCTTTTGAATCTTTACCTTGTAAAACCCAGGAAACCATTAAAAAAGAATGGGTTAAATTAATGTATAAATTAGAATCCGAAATTGCTTTTGAAAACTACTTAAGTAACTTCCACAAAGAAGTAAAAGTAGTAACTCAGCAAAATTGGAAAACAGAATCTGCCGTGGTAACCGCTAGTCACCCACCAGTAGAAACTATTGAATTTAAATATGCTAACAAAACTGTCACAGCTTCTCCCTTTAAGATTCCAGTCTCAGAATCTGAAAAGAAGATAGTTGAACAGGTCAATTTCACCAACCAAAGCCTAATTACCATAGGTAAACAGTTGGATAAAATTGAAAATAAAATAGATGAAATTAAACCATCTTTAGTAGAAAGACCATTAGTCAACTTACCTGAAGAAAGAAAGAATTTAGGTTTAAAAGACAAAAACCTAATTCAACAGATTGATGCACTCTTATCCAGGAAAGAATCTACTAGTACTTCCCAGATAACAGTCATCAACCAAACTAAAGAAAGTTCAGAGTCTAATTCAGAATCTGATAGTCCCAAAGACACCACTGATTCTGACTCTGAAATAGAAAACTTAGAAAAACAGTTTAAGGATCACAGTATGACCCAACCTGATTCTAAAATCAATGCACTGGTTAGAGTCCCTACCAGCTCCACAAAGAACTGGTATTCTAGACCCACTCCACCAGATCTTCAATATGAAGAAAAGAATGTGTTAAACCAGTTTTCTGTTCAGTCTAACAGACTCTATGAATGGAACATAGATGGTCTAAGCGAACAGGAAATTATTAACAAAGTCAGTCATCTATCCATGGTTTTAAATAATTATATGACCAATCTTGATAGCCCTGAACCTGAGATTGTCAAACTAATTGTTTCAGGATTCACAGGTGTTCTTAGAAATTGGTGGGATAATTATTTGAAACAGGAACAACGAGACAGTATCATTAATGCTGTTCTCAAAGATGATGAAGGCATCCCAATCTTTGACGAAAGAATTGGAACAGCTAAGCCTGATGGTTGTAATACACTTATATTCACAATCATCAAACCATTTGGGAAGCAGTTAAAGTAGACTGGACCTCGGTGGAGTCCTGTCTCCATGATTCCCAAGACACTTGGTTCCCAATCAAGAAACCTCGCATCTCTTAGTGCTAGTAAGGCAGCAGCATTCCTGCCTTGGGTAATAACTCCACCAAGATGATGAGGACAGAATCCTTGAAATCTTTAGGATAAACAATCTTGACAGCTCTGAAGATTCAGATAGCCCAGTAGGCACCCCAGACTCTTCAGATTATTATTCAGCTTCTGATCACCCTGATGCACCTAAAATTAAAATAGGATGCTCTTGTCAGAAACAAGTTAGGGTAATCACAAAGCAAAATGAAGAACACATACTTATAGACTTGATCTCCAAGATAGAAGATCCAGATCTCAAAGATAAGTATGTAAAACAGCTTAGAAACCTTTTCACTAAAAAGGATAATAAGCAACCTGTTATTGAAAAACAATTAATAAGCCTTAACAAAACTATGGAAAGATTTAGTAAGGAAAAGAAAAAAGAAATCACCTTACAAGATCTCCAAAGTGAAGTTAATAAGCTTAAAATTGAGATAAAAGATTTAAAAGCTCAAGACAAGAAATTTGCTGAAGCTTTAACTCTTTTACAAACAGAAAAATATTCTGAAAAATCCCAAGATTCTGATCCAGAAGATCAGACTGCAGGTTTTATTAATCCTTTTGATCATCAAGGCTACACACAGGGGATACCAGTAACCTCCTCCTTTCAGACGGAAACTTCTGGTGTAACGAACCTGCCTTCATTCCAGGAAGGAGCCTCCTCCGATGACAAAAGAATTAGTTTGATTAATTCTTTAACTGTCCAAAAATGGCATGTTGAAGTAAAATTAATCATTAACAATAATTTTCATATTAATGTTATTGCCCTATTGGATACTGGAGCAGATGTTAACTGCATCCAAGAAGGATTAGTTCCAACCATGTTTTATGAAAAAACATTGGAAAGAATTAGTTCTGCCAATGGCAGCAAAATGAATGTTAAATACAAACTTCCTAAAGTTCATGTCTGTCAGCAAGATGTATGTTTTGAAACATCATTCCTTCTTGTTAATAACATGACTGATGCTGTTATTCTTGGTCTTCCATTTGTATATCTTTTGTACCCTTTTAGTACAGATACAGATGGAATATCAACCAAGCATTTTGGAAGAAAAATTGTATTTTCATTTATTACCAAACCTGAAAAAAGACATTTAAGGCAGCTAAAAGACATTTCTGTCTCACAGTCCCTTAATGTTATTAACAGAAAAATTAAGCAAGTGGAATTTCTTAAACAAGAGATTAACCACCTCAGAACTAAAGAAAACCTAACCAATCCAATCTTACAACAGAAGATCGATAGGTTTAGGGAAAACTTAGAGTCAGAAGTTTGTTCTTCCCTTCCTACAGCATTCTGGCATAGGAAGAAACACATGGTCAGACTTCCATATATTAAAGGATTTTCTGAGAACAATATCCCTACTAAATCCAGACCAATCCAAATGAACCATGAAACTACTGAGATCTGTAAAAAGGAAATCT